CCTGTCTATCTGATCGACTTGGCTTTGGGAGTTGTAGCGTCGGGTATCGGCCTTGCGCGGGCCTGCGCCGATGATATCGGCGGCGCCCTGAGGGCTATCCGCCACCTGGCCCACATCTATCGATCTGAGAGAATGGCCAATCTGGTTCTGAGGGTCTCTAAGTGCAAGCATATCCCCTTAAGTGCCAAATTCTCGAAGCAGCTCACCGACCAGGTCTCGGCGTTGGTCATTCTTGAGGTCCCCGATTGGAGCTCGTTCGAGGCCCCCCCGAAGCTTCTTTTGCATGTGGGTCTCCGGATGGGCCCTGGCGCATCCCCTGGCCCGCGTTAAACGGATCCGGCGGCCAAGCTTCGGCTTCGGGCTCGAGCCATCGGGCGGGGAACCACTCCTGCCAGCTTGTCTTCGACACTGTGCAATACTCGCGGGGTCTCGACGATATCCCGCGTGGCCCAGTTCTGCTGGCCGCCTGCGTCCGTCTGTCAAACTGAGCTGGCCACCCTGGCTCAAGCGTTCCGCGTCCTACTCGGCACGTTCGCGCTCGACTATTGGGTGCAGCTCGAGCAGCGGGGCGACCTGCGCTGCGCGCGGCGGGGCCACCTCGCGGCCCCCCCATCACCAGGGCCGCGCTGCTGACCTCCCCGCGGCGGGAGGAGTGGCTCCTGCAGCTCCGCCAGCGCACAGCCGCCAATCCGACCTCGGCCGCGCTCGGGATGCTGGCCTCGGGCAAGCCGCGCCCGTCCTTCTGGCAGTCGCCTGCCTTCGTGGAGAACCTCGAGGCTGCTGCTGCCGGTTCCCCGCCGCGGGGCCCCCCAGCGGCGCCGGGCGCCACGGCTGTCGCCGTTGCTCAAGATGCTCTTCTTCAAGTTGAGCACGCGCGTCCGCGGCCTCAGCGCGCTGCAAACCTCGCTGTTCGTGCTCTTGCGATGTCCGGGCCACCGCTACGGCCCTCTTCGCGCTGCGCCTCCGCAAGTTCGCTGGCCGTTCCCTGCGCGCCCTGCCCACCATCGACTGGGACGGGCGCCAGAGTGGTCTTCGCCGCTGCCCTTGCTCGCGGGCATGGGCCGGTCTGCGTACCTGGACTGATGGCTGGATGACGTCCGCTCGCATCATCTCCCCGCGCGGTCAGAGAGCATCCGCCTTCGTTTGCCTGGGGAAGTTCGACTCTCTCAATCACTACGCGAGGCGCCCAGTGCTGCATCGTGCTCTGCGGCAGGCGCTCGCTGGGCCATTCCCGCTGGACTGGCCGACGAGGCGGGGCCTTTGCCAGCCTTCGCTCGAGACGTTCTCGGCGATGACGGCCGCCTACCACATGCACAGCGAGGCCCGCCTCTCTGACGCGTGGCCGCCCACGCCATCCCGCATTCGAAGCTGCGCCGCGGCTTGAGTTCGCGCCTCGCAGCTGGCGGCCCCGCCCCGCGCTTCCGCCCCTGAGCGCGCTGCTCTCCGTCGGCGGGGCTATCGCATGCATTCGTCTTCTGCCTCCTCTTCATCCTCGCCGCTGGTGTCTCCAAGGCCCGCGCCAGTCGTCTCGTCAGACTCCGACACCAGCGCCGCCCCGTCTACCCCTGCCCCCTCGTCGTCTTCGACCTCTCCCACCTTGACTGCTACGCCTCCGCCGACTGTGGACATCGACGACCCCGACCTTGTGGGGGCGAAGGAGTTCCTGCAGCAGAGTGGCGTGATACAGTTGGACGGCACCCTCGCTCGCTCCTCGTCGTCGGTGGCTCAGTCTTTCGGCGTTAGATCGCAAGTCCCGTTCTTGCGTTCGGGTTCACCGTCGCCACTTGCTGGAAGCGGGGCCGATGGAGAGTCGCCGCGGCGTTGGATCGCAAGTCCCGTTGTCGTGTCCGGGTTCAACTTCGCCGCGCGCGTGTGGATTTTGCGGTGGCATCCTCGCCGCTGGCGTTAGAGCGCAAGTCCCGTTGTCGCGTTCGGGCTCAACGTCGCCACTTGCTGGGTGCCTCGATGGTGGCTTGCCGGCCGTCGGCGTTGGATCGCAAGTCCCGTTTACGCGTTCGGGCTCGACGTCGCCGCGCGCTGGGTTCCTCGATGGTGGCCTGGCTGCCGTCGGCGTTCGATCGCAAGTCCCGTTCTCGCGCCCGGGTTCAGCGACGTCGCCCCCAGCCCCGATTGCCGCGCGTGCGAGGATTGCGCCCGCGTCTTGTCGCAGCGCGCGTGGATCATGGGCCCCGTTTTCCCCGACCCCTGCGCCGATGTCCGCCTGCGCGAGCTTTGAGCGCTCGGCGCCTTTGGCCGGGAGTGGGTCCTTCACGGCGGCCCCCACCTATTCGATCTCGTCGTCTCGTGCGCGAGGATCCGTGAGCCCGCTCTTCCCCACCTCCCCACATCAGTTATCTCCAGGCACGTTGTGTCTTCCCCAACCCCGCCCTTCGCTCCCGAGCCTTCCTGCCCCTGCTGCTGCCTGCCCCCCGCCCGCTCTCCCCCCCAGCCGCGAGATAAGGTGTTACTGCGGCCCGTTGGTTGTTACTGCGGCCCAGTGGGTGTTAGTATGGCCAGGGGTCCTCGCGCCGCGAGATAA